TGAGAAATAATAAAAATTATTAAATATATATTTATATTAATAGAGTATAATAATATAATATTATTCTTTGGTGTTTATATTATATGTAAAATTATATAATTTTTATATTTTAGACAAATATTTTACTCTATCAACCTATTTCCTTTTTTTATATTATTCTAGGTCTTTTGAATAATCATTATATTTTTTTCTTATAATTAAAAAATGTGTTATATATTATAATTATTACTATTTTTTCTTATGTTTAAAATATATTTGTCAAGGTATATGTTTATTTTTTAGAATAATTCAATACTTAAAAAAAAAAACGAAAAAATTGTTCTACTTCAGGCTTTGCGTTATCTTGTTAAAGAACACTATAGTTATTTACATGTATTTCACATTTTATCCAGATATTGTGTAAAAAATTATAATCAAATAAAATATGACTAATGAAATTGTACAACTTTATATAATATAAATTACTTATTATAACACTTTTATATATAATTTTTTAATAAAGCTAATAAAAAAAAATTTAATATATTACAATTTTATCATACAATAATTTTTTATTTCTTTCTAGTTTAAAATTGTAAAAGAATTTCCAATTTTTGAAGAAATTATGAATAATTCTCGAATGGAATGTAATAATTGGAATAATGCTAATTTTTCTCATATAACAGATGAAAATTATCCACATTTTAAAAATCATGTTAAAAGCATATGCGAAAAGTTTGACAAATATACATGTACTATACAACTTCATAGTAACACAAGCGTGCCTTACAATTCCAGTTGCAAATATTTGTATTATTGGCTATATTATTATAATAATATGCAAACGAATGTTGAGGAAGTTAAAAAACTTTATGATGAAATGATCTCTGCTGATAGTACAGCCCATCAAAATTTATGCAGAAAATATGTCACTACTATTACAGAAGATGTAATGCCAAAGCTCAAAGATCTGCATGGCATGTACAAAAATCTAAATATTTTAGAGAAAAATAGTAGTCCTCAATCTGAAGATAAATGCAGTTGTGCTAATAAATGCGCTGAATTATATATGAAATACATAGGTTCATGTGAATCCAATAATTACTCCGATTTTTGTAATGAGTTAAAAAATGTTAGGCATAAATATAATGCACTAAATACAATTAAAAGTTGCGACGAATTAACATATAAAATATTACCTTTGCTTCAAAAAAATAATATAAGAATTCCTATTGTAATTACAATTCTTGTGATATTATTAATATCAATAACTTTATTTATTCTGCATAATGTAATTATTATATAATGTATACATATTTGTTGTACAAAATTAATTTTATACATAATTATAAAAAGAATTTAAATATAATATTTATTTAAAATATAATTTTTTTTATTAATTAGTTTACCCCATATAATTCATGCTTTCAAGGAACATTAAGAAGGAAACGAAATAAGTGGAATAATATAGATAAAGATTATAATATATTCCAATCGTACAAAAATGTGAACAGTGCTACTATGAAGAGCAGACAAAATATTTTATATCATATAGTATAATTCTACCATTATATACATTAAATATTGCAATTATTTGATTAAACCAAAATAAGTAGTATTAAACAATTAATGTGTGAAATTTCTTATATAATAAATACATATAAAGCTATAGCTGTAATTATAGTAAAAAGCTCATATTAATTTTTCTATATAGAAGTTAAAAATTTCAAAATAAATATTCTATTAATATCTAAAATGTATCTCTTTCTTCAATAACCTATGGATAAAAACAAAATGTGTAAATGTCACCCATATCCCCTTTTAATATACAGTACTTTTCATGTACGTGTAGTCTCTAAGTTATAAAACAATATATATGTATAATTAAATAGAGAAAATATATGTTTAGGTACTAATGCAGGTGAAAATTGAAAATTTCCATTTTAATTGAATATATTATAATCATTTATATTCTATATATATCATGATTTTTGTAAAATATTAATATTGATATGTTTATTTGTATTTATTATGTATGCATATATATGATTATTTTTTTATTTCCTATTACTTTTTCATGATTTTCTGTATACCTTTTAATATTATGAGTCTTAAATGCTTACATATTTATTATACTAATTTTCCAAGCTTCACTATAAATAAGTCAATTATTAGAAGAACAAAAGCATTATAACATATAATATGTTTATATCATTTTTTTGTTTCATTGTAAACAATTGATTATTTCTATTTTTTTTTCTCATTTAATTTATATGAACAATTATTTTAATACCTATACATCTTCTTTAAATATCTCAGTGCAAGTATCAACTTTGTAAAAAGGATTAAAAAAAAGACACATTTTTTTTTTGTTCTAGTGAATACAAAAATATTATATTTATAAAATATAAAAAAGAAATGAAATATTTTTCAATATCACAATATTTTATAAATGTTGAATTTAATATTATTCTCCATGTTTTTAAATATTTTTTCTACATCAAATATTAGCTTCATATGAATTTTCATATTATTAAAAGTGTTGTCCTTTGCATTGCTAAATATAATTAGATTATATTTAATATTCTATTTATTTTGGAATTTTGTTTCAGCTAATCATAAACAACTGATCTATTATTATTATTATTTTTTAATATTTCTTTAATCCCATATCATTATAAATTATTTTATAGTATTATATTATATGGTTCTACCTATGCTTCATGATTTTATTACAATCTATATTCTTATATATTTATCCTTTAAAACTATAGCTGATATCTAATTCTCTTCAAAAAAAGTATCTTATATAAAAATTTCATACAGTATATTTATAAATTTTTATAATATTTTATGTGACATATGTAATGAATAAGACATTTTTATTTTAAAAAAGATAATATGAAAGTATACTGAACATATGTATATATTCTCCTTATAAGGAAAATGTAAATTCTAATAAATACTTCTGAGAACATAATTATATATTAAGAAATATTTTTTTTCTAATCCTTATAATCGTATTATTATGCTTTATTTTCTCTATTTGTTAAATTTCCGTAATAAATGTATTCAATTTGTTCATGTAAATAAAAAAATATATAATATATATATACAACTTTTCGTAGAAATATTAAATTTTGAAAAAATATAACATTCGCGCAAGCTTTAAAATGTATAAAATATGTTTAAGTGCATTATGTATTAATATAATTTGCTACGTAAATATTTTTCCATTGAACAAACAATATATGCTTGTTAAAATATATTTTAAGTTTGTTCACAATATAAACGACAATAAATGTATTATGAATAATCAATTTATTCGTTTTTTTTAAAAATTTAATTTACATATTTTTTATATAATAATAGAAACTTTTTCAAATATATAATTTTATTGAAAAATTTTATTATAAATCAGTGATATTTTAAAAAGAATTCTAATGATTTACAGACAATAAAATATTTTTCATATATATATAAATAAATCACCATCACATACTAATATAATATCATAAATATTTATATTATACTATAAGCAAAAGAATATGTAATATATTTAATAATTTGCATTATATATATTAAAATTAGTATATAAAACAGTCAATTTTGAATATATTTTACTAAACTCACAGTATTATAATAACTATAAATAACGTTTAATATTTTTTTAATGCGTTTCGTATGAATCTTAATAACACGTATAAAATGTTATTAATATATTACTATGTTTCATCCATATGTATTGAAAAAAGTATTAGAAATTAATAAAAAAAATTAATACGTATTAAAGAACTATTAATTTTGATGAACGTATAAATAATCGTAATACATTATTTAATGATGTATACATATAAAAACAATTTATATAATGTTAATATGTGCCATTCATAAAAATATATCATGTAAAAGAAATAATTCTTATAAGCATTTACCTATTAAATAGATTGTAGCACTCATCATTTCTCACATAGAACACATGTTATATAACATTATACGTTTTATATATATAAATAAAAACTATATAATTTTCATGAAAAGAATTACATTTACATTTAAAAGATGTTTTAAAATAAAATAGCATTGAATTAATATTTTATACATAATAAAAAACTATATATACATATTCATATAATATACTATTGATATATATAAAAGTTATAACATAAAAAAATTGTATCTAGAACTCAGAGCACTGGATATAAATTTATGCTCTAATAAATATAAAAAAACTCCAACACTAATGTTATTATTTAGAAATCAATGTATAAACTCTCAACTCTAATATATTAATCACACAATATATATATGCTTAATATGCATGATTAACGTAAAAACTTTTTACATTTAAATATATATAATTAAATAAAACTTATAACCTTATTATTTCCTTTAAAATGCGAATATATTCCTGCATATGGACTATTGAAATTATATATCTTTAATATAATTAAGGATATGTTTTGTTATAATAAATGGGTATTTCGTTTTTATAAAAATTTATCAATATATGAACCAAGAAGACTAAATTTCATTTAATCTAATATTTTATAGTTTTTACATTAAATTATATATACCTTTGTAAAATTTTTAATAAAGCAAAAAATATACATAAATATAAACCTATTTAAATTAATATTACATATTAATGATGTCTATCTTTTCATTTGTAGAGTATCAGTGAAATTTTTCTATTTGAATATAAAACTGTAGATTTATTATTATATTTTAAAAGGTGATCTCATAACGTTTCCAATAAATAATATAAATATATTATTATTTTATTCCTGAAATAATAATGGGAATACATATTGTGTCTTAAATAGATAATGAAATATTTTATGCTCTACAATAATTAATAATTTATGGAACCATATAATTTATTGATTCACTCTTTAATTATAAATAAGTATAACTAGTAGTGGCACTGTGTGTACTTATCTTTAAATATTATGTTTTCTTTCTTTATATGATTACTTTTATGTCGAAATCATCAGCCAAAATATGTATTAATATGCTATATGAATATGAAAATCGTATGTTTAAAGAATTATAATACGTATCACAGTATTATACTTTCTGTATACACCATTTTCTATAAACAATGAAATTGTCCTAATTGAAATATAATTTTTATCATTTTATACTTCATTTATATTTTTTAGTATGAAGTTGTAAAATTACTTCCTAAATGTAAAAAATTAATGGATGATTGTGAATACGATTCATATCCGGCGAAAAAAAATTTATGCGAACAAATCAGTAATAATATTTTTAAACATAGGGATCCCAAAATGCTTATCATATGCGGACAAGCTATGGAATTTCTATCTAAATTAGTGTCATATTCCCACAATATATTAATGGAAGCTGGATGTAAATATTTGTATTATTGGATATATTATAAACTTAAATCAAATAATAATAATATGTACACTAATAGTCTTTATCACGAAGTGACCCAAGTATATGGTGAACAGTTAATTGGCAAAAAATTTTGCGACAAATATAAAGAAGAAATTAATGATGAACAAATGTTTAAACTGAGCTTCTTGAATGAATTATATAAATGTCATAACGCTAAAATTACTATAAGAGAAAATAATACAGACGAAGTTATTTGTAAAACGTTAAATGATATATTGGATGAATATAAAACAAAATTTGAAGAATTTGTTTCAGCCAAAGAAACAACTGAAAATGTAAAGAGTTCATCAGTAAGCGTTCCAACGTATCAAAATAATATTAAAGCAGCTATAATAACTACAATTATCGTAATGCTCTTAATATTCCTTTTAATTTTTTTTATTTTTAAGGTTTATTATCCTATTATTCATATATATTATAATAAGAAATAATATTTTTAAATGACTTATAAAAAAAATAAATTTATCGTTAAACAATTATATTTTTAGTACATGAATGATTTTTTATTCTTAATTAGTTTGCGTCAAATTCTTCATATTTTCAACAAAAAATACAAAAGATGAGAAATAAATGGAAAAATATTGATAGTGTATGTTCCATATTGAAACAATCAGAAATAAACAGAAATATTTCATGGAATAATAGATATAATATATCATATAATATTGACTAATGTTACTGTTATGTAAATAACTAAAAATAAATATTCTTTTTAAAAAATAAATAAAAAGTTTCAAGAAGTTTGTATGGAAGCTGTTTCTATTAATAATGATAAATAAAAATGGAATATAACATCTTGTAATAAAACACAAAAAAATAAATGTTTTAAAAGGAAATTAATATTATTTTGTTTCAAAAATTAAATGATAAAATATTAACCATAATTGTATTATCCATTTACGTGTATACCTAATAAAGAAGCGTCAGAACAATTCATTCATTTCTTGTCTTAGTGTCATGTAGTGCATTGAATGTTTTTTTAAGGCACAATAAATTATATTATATATAAAATAATAGAATTATATATAATATAATTACGAACACATATAAAACACGTTATAATAATTGAATACAACGTGTATGTAATACATTTTTATAAAAATAATTCTATATTACTAAGTAAATTTGTTGAAAATTTCATTGGCAAATAAAAATTTATATATCAATTAATATTTATGAACTAAAACACTTTATCTAATTTATTTTTCATATTTTAATAATATGAATGTTAATTTTCACGTATTTAATGTTACTAATATGTGAATTATTTTTATATTTATATTTATTTGCATATATAATGACATAAATTGCTAAATACCATTTATTTGTTATACTCTTAATTAACATAATAATGATTTCATCTCATTCAATTTACTCTTTTTTTTTGTATTCTAATTAATGTGAAGAATATGTATATTTTCTATATTAGTAGTATAAATTTCACTATACCTTACTACATAAAAAAAATTAAAATAAAAACATAAATTTATTTTTTTAAAGTTATTGTTATGTCTAAAATAATTTTGTATATATTTATTAAGTTGATGTATCAACTGAACCACAATTCCAACATTTCATCATTAATTTTCATAGCACTTAATATTATTTTATATATAGTTATAAACAGTAGAAGCATTATATAGTATTATTTTTATGTTTAACATTGATGCTCATTAAATTGGGTTAATAGAGTATGCCCTAATAAAAAATATGTATACGAATGCATATCACTATATGTGCCTTCTTATTGAATAAATAATTAGATATATTATGGAATACTAGTTAATTTTTTTTTATATATTTTTCCTTATTTTTATCAATTATAACAAATTTGTCATAATACCCTAGCATATAATTATCACCATAAACTATATCATTAATGATGTTATCTAATTTTACTAGAATGTAGCAAAACCATAGCTCGATAGTTTAATAATCTAAAATTTCTTTTATTTTTCTATTTAAATTGTGCAACATTGTGCTTAATAATTTATATATATATTTATATTTTTTATTATTCTTATAATTCCCATGTTTTTTTCCTCACATTACGTACTGTTCTTATAACTCTACTAGGATTTACGTCTATATTAAACTACTAAAGGTTTCAATGATAAAAGTCTCATTATAGAAATAAGTTTCATCAGCTATAAAATGAAAAATATAATTATTCTGTATGGCAATCTACTAAGATTCATAACAATATATTGCTAGTTCACATATAAGTATCTCATTTTGCTTTTGCTTAATTTTTTCTTTTTTATTCTCATTTTATATAACGTTAATCCGGATAAGGTAGACTAATATACTAAAAGAGTAGAATACACATATTTAATAAATATAAACTTGATATAAAATGATTAAGAAAAAATTTACGCCTTTAATTCTAATTTATTTCTACAGGAAACAAAACATATAAAAATAAAACTATTTTTAATGCTGATATAACAATGATAAGGCTATGAAAATAATATTAATTTAATGTGTTTTAAATTTTTTCTATAATAATAGATAAAGTAAAAATTGTTTTCCTTTATGCACTGTGCGGATACATTATATTCAGCTTGGTAAAAATTTTTCGTGCAAAATCCTGAATACTTCATGTTTTTCGATTCATGAATTTTTATTTGTTTTTACTTCTTCTATACTTATCATATGAGTTTAAAACAGTCAGAAAAGCACTTGTATCGTGTTTCTTCCGAAGTAAAACTCTCAATTATATTTAATAACTTTATAATAACAAAAAGTTCTGTATGAAACATAGTAGCTCATATAAATCGGTTTAATATATGTAATATGTTTTAAATAAAATTTTAAATCATTCATAACAGAATACTTACTTTTAGTACATTCATCATATTCTAAGCTATTCTGTGAGACTTTCTCTTCCTCTTATTATTCCCGATTTTCTTATTCAAAACATCGACATATTACTATGTAAGGATAATTATCAATCAACATTTTTAATAAATGAAAAATTTTATTACAAATATGTTTACTTTCTGTTTCACTTCAATTTTGACTTCTTTTCCTATCTTAAAATAGTTGTAGTGTGACAAACAAAACATCCATTTGTTCGTCCATATTCTTGTTTTTCGAATAATTTTTAAAAAGTATTTTGAATCTTTACACGAAGAAATATATTGTCGTAGTTAAATTTTTCCATATTATAAGAGTAATCAATGTTATATTTTATAATTTTTATTTTATCAATTATCTTCCCTTTACAGGTAGGCACATAGTGGAATTATTCATTTAAGTAGTCGATAAAATATGTGTAATATTATATAAATATATGCTTTGTTAAGAAATTTTTTTTATACTCTTTTTAGAAGTATACGGAATACGCATGTACATGTCTATTTAAATATAATAAAATTAATTATGTCCAATGTATCTTATTCTCATATGAGATAACTACATGAAACAAAGTTTTTCGTATGATTATGTGAATTTTTATGAAATATAAAAAGAATTATATATAAATTATATTAATTTTATAATAATTTTAAAAATTACATTAGGATTTTTGTTTCTTATATTATCCCACAAATATATATAATTTTTATTCATATATATTTCAGTGTCTCACAATAATTTTATCATGTTAAATATTCTATATAAACCTATTATTAATGTAATATACAAAAAAAAACCTTTAAATAATA